CATAATATTTGGGCAAAATTTCTAGGCGAAACCTTCATTAAATACCGTCGAAATTGATATTAATCTCGGAGACACATAGGATGTAGTTATTTTTACATTGAAAAGCTGGGCAGTATATGCATGTAGAAATAATTGAATTGTCCTGTTCATAATAACAACTGAAATCATCAGAATTAAATTTGATCCTGAAAGCAAAATTCTGGGTCAGTATTTTTCAGCGTAACTTTCGATGCAAAATTATTCAGATTCCCGAATTTTTAAGCCGAATTATAAAATGATATTGTTACAATGGAAATTTCCATTTTATATGTAGATATAATCATTTTGTTTTATTTTAATTTTATTGTTTGTTTTAAATATTTAACTCTTTTAAAACAGTGTAACGCAATTGTGCCATTTTATTAAGTATTGTCTTAATGATTTTCGTTGGTATATTTGATTAGTCTTGATATTTCAAAAATGGGAAATAAATTAGTCTACTTAATATTCCAGTCCTCACTAAAGACATTGACTCTAAGTAACGAGCAGAGAGAAATAGCTGCAGGCAGGTAGCATTATACAGAAATAGAGGGAAACGACCAGGCTCTCCGAGGTGCCCCTTCTGTCTCTCTAAGCTAGCTAATCTGTTGCCCGTATTTAAACAAGAGAACAAAAAAGATATACCTATACACTCTAACAAATAGTTTAATTTTTATAACTCCGAATTTTTATAACCCCCCCGGATCATAACTATTAAGGTTTTGTGGTAACTGTAATCAATGACTATAAAAAAAGATCAGGTCTCAAAGTCGAATGTGTGTAGATTTAATTATCCGCGCTGTTTTTCGTTGCAAGGATGAAAGTGGAATAGAAAAACATTTTGTTAGGATAATATTGTTGTTAATTTCTAAATCCTGAGGGCGCTGTTTTAGCGGCAGAAGGTTGAAAGGGTCTGTTAGTAGTGTAGTTTTTAATGAATAAATCCACTTCGAAAGTATGGGCGTTTGTATCTGGGTGTAGTGGCAAATTTAATGAAGCCCGAAAGGATCCAACGGCGTGTTTTTGTTTCACTTAGAAATTTACTTTTATCGAGTTTAAACGTAATGAAATGTTTACAGTGAAAACACTCTTATAAAGGGGGTTTGTTTCATGATAGCGGAAGTATTCTAAAATAAACTTATCTAGTGACGCATAAGGGAGGAAATTCAATGATCGATTAATATTCCGTAACAAACGACTCATTCTTCATAAAGTGACAGGTGAGTCGGACATTACTCAAACGCTCGGCTCCCTTAGCCGCCACCAAGAATTGTAGTGTCACCCCTCTCTCTGCCAGTGTAAACAATTCCTAATAAATGACTTCCATTATTACCGAGGCTTCACCTGGGATCGCTCCTGGAACAATATTTCATCATGGCGAGGACAGATCTCGATTAGGCACCGCAGGAATGTTCTCCTGTTTGTTAAATAGACAAGCGGAATTCAATTGTACATCTGATTAATTAGTCACAGCTGACTGTACATTATTGGTGGCGGAATTTTCGCGTAATTAAAGATTCCAGCGGTTGACGATGCAATGCTTCTTTTCCATGACTGCAGATGTTATTGAATTCGCCACCGCCTGCCGCTCCTTGCTGATACGTTCTTGCTTTGGATAAATTTATCGCAGCCGGTATCGCGCATTAATACCGCCTACACCAACACTGTCGTAATTAAACTAGATAAGAAAAAATCAGACTGCTGACTTTTTCGCGACGGCGGACATGAAAAAGCAGTTTTCGGACGAGTCACTGCATTTGGACGAGTGAGCAAGAAAAATTGATATGAGAAAACGGTGCACAGGCACAACGGAGAATCACTGATTTTCAAAGTGACCTATTTGAAGAGCAGATTGTGAAGGTTAACACAACTTTTGTTTGCTTTTTTTGTGAAGTTCTACTTTCAAATGACAAACAAACTTTTATTAAAAATATTTTGCTAAAACTGAATCTATTGTTATGTGCTCTGCTGGCTTGCACTTGCATTAAGTGTTATAAAATGTTTGAACGACCGTTAATCAAACAGAAACGATCGAAGTTGTACATTTTATGAGTCGAGAAACTCTATTTGCCGAGTATCTTTTTGTTTCTCTGATTTAAGCTCAGATACAAACTCGAAAAGTACTTTGTAATAATAGTACAGTCTGTATCTCTGTTTCCTTTTCTTAGAGATAAAAATAACGTGTAAGTTTTAAATCTGTACAATTATTATAGAGTATATCAAGGTTTATTTGGTCCACTCTTGGAAAAAAATATAAATTTTGTAATTTTATATACAATATTATTGTGATACGATAGAAATCTTCGTTTGATGTTACGGAAACTCTTACTCTTACTCTTCTGCGACTAATCAAACTTTGTTTTTAAGAATTGTTTAGCGTAAGAAGGAGCGCATGCGAATCCTTTAATTTTTTTTTTGTTACAACATGGTAAACCAAATACTTTATAAGTTATTATTATTGTTTTATAAACCTAGGGGTAGTGTGTTTTTGTAGTGGTCTGTTTTTTCGCTCTCTTGTTGTTTTTTTTTAACTTCTTAAAAGTTTGATTAATGATGGTTTCTTGTATGAGAGAAACTAGGTTTTTGAAATACGGTTGAGACGAAATGCGTCTGCTGAATTCTTATAAAAAATTAGAATAATAAAATTTTCTGATTCTGACGTCATTTATTTCCACTGATTTATTTTTCACAGTGGTTCTTAACTGGTTTTATCAGTTTAATTTTGTCATAATTTTCAGTAATTAGAAAATCTATGTAAAATTTGCACTTCTTAAAAAGCTACCTTTTGTAGTTTCCACATACGAGTATTTATCAAACACTTGGATGATTATTACCATTCCCATTGAATCAAATTTAGAGTAAACAGTGAAGTAAAAAGTTTATTAGAGCCAAGTGTATACTCATAACCGTACACATGAGTTGGCTTGTACACAAATTTTAAAAATTAATAATCCTTTCACGTTTCGGTTGAAAAACAGGCAATCTGATGTTGATTTTAATTGAATCAGCAACTTCCCTCTAGTATCAGATCATTATTGAATTTTCGCATTGTGTGGAATATGCAAATTTTTCCCGGTATAGTAAAATATAACCAAAATGAGTCTCGTTCAGACTTTACGATCGGTTCTTTTTCAGCGTCCAAAACAAAATAAACTCATTTCAATTGTCTATCAGTGACAATTCCCAATTTATTTCTTAATAACATCACGTGCTATTCGGAGACACAATTGGCTTAATTTCGAGTTTCTTTCTCAAAAAGACATTTCAATAAGTCCATAGAAGTGAAATGAAATCGGAATTGTAACGGTCATGGTTAAGGTAAAGAAGAAAAATGATTTGTAAAAACAAGCCCCAATAAATTCTTCAACGCTTCAGTGCGTAATTGAAATGATTCGGATCGGTTGAATCGACAGTGGTATTGACAAAACGAGAAGGAGCCTAAGAGTCGTAATATTTGAGAAAACTGAATGTGTGGCGAGTCAAAAACTGAATTAAGGAAATTATCCACGGTCGGCGTTTTTCAGGCTTCTATTAAAAATGAAGGTGGTTATTAGGATTTTGATCACACACCATAAAAGATTAATCTCTTCTTTAGATTCATCAACTTTCATTATTTGGTGTCAATTTGCTCGAAAAAAAAATGTGATTAACTATTCCGTAACAGAAAGACGCTTAATTTTATAATAATCCAAATGAAATAACTCCATTACACGTCATTAGTTGACTCGAGGCGAAAACTGGCGATCCTAAACCCAATTATTCAGGAATTTTTGTTGCTAACTTGGATTGTCTTAAAATAAAAACCGTCTTTTACATTGTTGGCAATTCTTATAAGGAAATTGACTTGAGCTTTAATTACTGTAGTAGAAAGCACAGTGTAATCAATAACGTATTTTTTATTAAAATAATGAAACGATTACGTCATGTCCTTGGGGACTGACTACATTAGTCTAATTTTTTTGTCGTTTCCTCCTAAAGCCAAAATAAAATTATATTTGAACAAATAATAACATTATTGTTGGTATTTTTTTCGTAGTAAATTTATACAATTAACATACTGCCCCGTGTAATTTCAGTTTTTTCAGTCAGATACAGTTGCGATCTCAATCTGCGTTTAGTTGAGTTTCATTTGAAACTTAGCTGTCTAGCTAGCCTTAGTTTAAAGTTACTAAAATTTCAGCAATTATCTGAAATATTTTGCAGTCATTGTTTAATAAAACAACAAACTGTCGCATGGCAATTAGTGGTAATCTGAGCAATTAGTGACACGTGTACGCTTTTAGCGTTTGTTTACACGAGATTCAGTTCCTGTAGCGTCTAGTTGCGACGTTAGCATATCCGTTTCCGCCCCAACACGCGTCTATTTCCGCCACCTTAAAGCCGATCTAAGATTAAGAAGATTAGATCATGGCAAAGGGATGTTTGAAAGCTCACTGATTTTAATTAGCACCATACAATATGTTCAGCTTAGAAGCGAAAATGGAGACTGGTAGATAGTCCATCCGGAAACAGTCAGATGTTTCAAAAGGATGAGCCGCAGTTTGTGTAAAAAGGATGTTCTTCTATATTTTCTTTAACCTTTTGCATTTACGAAATCGTTCTTTTGTAATATCACATTTTCTAAAAACAAATAGGCACGTCGTGGTTTATTTATAAAATATATATGTATCGTATTTGCGAGAAAACCTTCTTATCGGGGATCTGAAGAAAATATAATAAAACTGATGTCATATTTTTAATTTTGTCTAATCTCGGCTCTTGAATAGACAGTGACATAATGGAAACGTTTCTGGAGGCTCTTTTATTTGTTGCTGGAAATAAATTTCATTTCGTCGGAAAAGGCGTAATGAAAGTTCCGAAGACAAAAACTTAAATCACTACCTGAGTTAAATAACGTTTTCCCCATTTAATTCCCGCCTATTGTAGAAACAACAATACTGCTGAAAAAATTCTAAAGCTAATGGCTCCCTTCCTCTTTTCAGAGATAAAATAAGACAATCAAGATGGCATCATCGCACAAGTTCCTGCTGCTCCTCCTGCGGATAGCTGGCCTGTGGCTGGTGAATGCAGCAGGGCCGATCCGCGAACAAAAGTTCGCGATGGAGCCTCAAGATCAAACGGCTGTGGAAGGGTCGAGAGTGACGCTGCCCTGCAGAGTAATCGACAAGAGTGGAATCCTGCAGTGGACCAAGGACGATTTCGGCTTGGGCACGCACAGGAATCTCAGCGGATTTGATCGGTACTCCATGATTGGTAGTGATGAAGAAGGTGAGCACAGCATTAATTTACCACCAATTTGGGCTTTGACATTAACGACAGTCATTTCGGGCGATCAATCACCTTCATAACGCAATGTAATCTATTTTAATCTGGCAAACGATAAACTTGGAGCTTTTTCAAGAAGAAAAGATCCGAGAATCTGTTTTTTGATTCACATTTTGATATTATCTGCGTGTGTATTTTTACAAAAGTTTTTCGATACAAAAAGTAAAACGGTTTCCTGGCAATAAGATCAACATGATTACTGTTAATTATTACACATTATACTGCTCTAAAAAGGCTAACGGTATCGTTGATTAACTCCACTCCTTTCCTTGTAAGATGTAAGACTACTCATAGATTTATTTATTAATTATAAAACTATGAGTAATAAAGTTTCAAATTGTAAGTGGTGCCCCAGATAAACATTTATCACTTTTCAAATGCGACTACCATATTTACAATATATTTATGATACATTAAAATGATTCAAAGAGCTACATTATTTATGTACAAGCCAAGTGCATTAAAATATTTCCCCTGTGACTTAAGCCAGAATCAGACCACATTTTATTGCGTTTACTCATTCTTTACTTGACCTGGAAAGTAGGTACTCCAAGAAGACAAAAGCTTTATTAAATTGGATTAATTTTCATAATATTTATTTGAAGTTAAATTCGGTTCTATTTGAATGAAATGACCAATGTTAGATAGTATCTTGTGCACAATATCATTGTTATCAATCATCTGGCGGCTATCGATCAAGAAGAAATGACATTAGTTTATTTTTATACAAAGCATTATTCCAAATTACTAAATATCGATTTGTTCAACAAATACTCATAGAGTGGCTTTGTAATACACTGGAAACAGTAATTTTACAATTTTACTACTGGATACTTTAATTCAACTTGAAAGAGGATTTCAGTCTTGTTTATTTTTCTGCTTCATTGTAATAAAATTAATAGCAACATTCTTGGCCACTGAATCAAATCGATCGGTTCATTGCTTACGGGAGATTACTGAGAAAGTTGTAAAAATGATTATTATTAGGCCAAAGGTTGCAATGTAGGAGAAAATGATCACTTTCTTAACTTCCTACTCGTCGTTATTATAAAGCACTCAGACGTTTTAATTGCAACTTTTTCTTATTATTAATTAGATCAGGTTGGTCGGTGTGTATACCTATGTAGTTTTCTGAGAATGCTTTTCTTAATTTCCTATTGTAATTAATGCAACAGAATTCATTTGTTGTTGTAAAACGACGTTTTATTAACGGATTTGATGTAAGAAAATCCGCAACAGAAAATCAAATTTAATTACTCTGGTCATAGAGGATAGCAACAGGTATGCTTCTGATGGCGTTAGTTGGAAAAAGGGGGTTGGCTAATGGTATAGTAAAAGTCGAAAAATTAAATATCGTAACATTACCTTTAACAGAAGTAATTTTATCAGTGAAATAAAAGTCAGAGTCGAAGCGAAATGCATATATTTAATCGCTTCATTAGGGTAAATTACTTAAAAGAGACCTTTGAGTTGTCGCAGTTATGCTTTTTACTTTTTCTTACCAATTTCGTAGTTTAATCGCCAGATCTCCGCGGAGGATTCTGAAGTTGTAATTTTCTTAAGTCCATATTTATGTATAGCAGTGGAGTCAACAAACTTGAGAAAGTTGTGATTAGAAGGGCGTTCGGACACGTGTTGTTAATTTCCAGGACAAATATTAGACTGCCAAAGTTTACCGGTCGCCTCGTGCGACGTTAATTAGAACAGTTTCGTCTAATTACTAAAATACATAAGCATTGACACCTTCATTTTGAAATTTCTGAGAATTCTCGATACGATTTTACTGTGGAGAAGAAGTTTTGTTTGTTCTGTTCTCTCGACCTCGGCCGGAAAATCTTCTCAGCGAAGGCGCATTTATATTCTGTCAATGCAAAACTGAAGGAACTAAATGTATTTACGCCGTGCACATCCCGGGCGTATTTTTAGCCGAGCTTTTAGAGCTACATGATGAGTTGTTTCTAGCATTATACATGTCTCTTCAGCTTTGCACTTACTCTAAGCCTCTTTAGGCCGCTCAAAGTTTCAACGGAAGGAAATCGGTCTAATATCAAAGACACGAGGTCGAATATTTTCTCAAAGGTGTTTTTAAAAACATTTAAGCCAATCTCGTTTTAATTAAATTTTAATTGGTTCGAAAAATTTTGCCAAAGGGCTCTTTATACTTTTATCGACTTGAAACGTCTACTTTGATAAGTTTTAATAAATGCAAAGCATGGCGTTTGACACGTTCAAGCGTAAAAAATCTCTTAAGGACATTTCGGACGAATTGTTTGGGCTACTAATGAACTCGGATCTTATCGGGCTGCCACAAAAGATTGCCAGCCAGACTGTTCTGACTCAGACAAAATTAATAAGCTGCGCATTTTTTACAGTCTCCTTCGAAAATTAATTTTATTTTAATTCTTAATTTAACCTGGCATTTTCAGGGTTTTACCTGAAAGTAGTGCGCCATTCTTAGCTGAAACGTCGCAGCATATTAGAATAAATAATCTACAATTACGTCCATTAGCTTTAAGAAAAGAGTAAAAATAGGCTTTTAGCTGAAATTCATTTAAAACGCTATAAAGCTCTACTCATTTGCATCCAATAAAACTTGTATCTTATCAAGATTCACACCGACGAAAGTACCATCTACGTATTTAAAATTAGCTCGAGGAAATTAAAATACATACATATTTAAAATACATAAATTTTATTTTTTAGTAAAGTGGTTATAGTTATTTTTGCCGCATTCAACCCAGTTTTTTATTAAAATCGTTCGTGTCACATTTTCGAAGTTGATTAACGAACTCGGGCTGAAATTTAGAATTACGTAGACAGTTTAATTCCTCTTGAAATTTTATATAGTGGTACGACTCGGCGCAATAGATAAAATATCATTCCTCTGGAGACTGAAGTTGGGAGTTACAGTTTCAAATTTCGAGTTGTAGTCTCCAGCAAATTCTGCCATCAATTACGATGGTTATTTACCGAGCAAACTTGTGCCTGTCGGAGGATTTTACACATACAGAGGTCATTATATATTTAATAGGAAAGGGAATATACATTTTAGTGAGATTTTTAATAAAGCGCATTATCTATGACGAAAATAATGAAATGTGACCTCAATTCTGACTCGAGATAAAATTCTCCGGTTACCATAATTTGACCCATGCAATATTAAAGTTGTGACGTGCTTTAGTTCCGCCATTAAACTTATTCGAGCACTTACACCGATGAACGACATTCTTCGCGTGTACTTAAGCCGTAATAAAATTTTCCCATTAAACTTACTAAGGTCTTCTTAATATAGTTACTTTTGAGATAGCGCGATAAAACCTTCATAATTCTGCCAAGTGGAGCCCAATCTTCAAGATCAGGCGTAAATTGGAACAACACTAATCATTCGTTAATATTTTTACGACATAATTGTCCGCAAGCTTAGTTATCTGCACCCGACAGCATCTTAAATATACTCCAGACCACGGAGTTCCAGACTTGTTATGTTAAAGGTTGTGCTGCGGCTGGACTCGGGCGTGTTATTCGCTGTATGTATGATCCGGACACTCGAGTAATACCTCCAGAGGGAACGCGATAGTCGCCTCCTTTTCCCACAGGCTTTCTGATATATGTATCCGAAGTTGGGCCTTTAAAATATCGTCGCCGTGGAACGCCTTTCGTGGAAAACATCGAGAACAAACCGAAACGCTAACTCGAACACACTTGCCGGAAAATCAGCCGGGAAGAATTTCACACGAGCTCGGACGGCACCTGGTGCATGAAAATCCGAAAGTTTCTTCTCATGTGGAAACTTACCTGAAAGTTGAAAAACATTGTCCAGCATAAAATATGAGGAGGCGGCACTTTGAAAGATCTGCAAGACCATATTAAGATTATACACATTAGAAATGTAATTTTATTATGCGGGTTTGTGAGGTGTAGGTAATTACATAATAATAAAGTAATGGAATAAAACTTTTCTCTTTATCTATGTGCAAGTAATTAATTAACTTCAGGTTCTGAATTAAAGAGCAGTAAGTAAAAATTGAGTCAGTTTGTTAACGCGGATTATTTCTGTTATGTAAAAATTTCCGTCTAAATTAGACTCTATTTCTCAAAATTTGTCCAAACTGGTAGGCCCAATAAAGAAAACGATCTTCTATTTAAGTGCCGTACCCAATCTGAGCTAAACAGGGAATTTTAATAAACACCATTTGGACCTGATGGGTCAAATGGGAGCTTTTTATGGTCGACGATTCTCTACAAGGAGGATAAAAATGTGTTAGTGTCTCCGGCCAATAATGATAAAACATAATATCCGTGAGGCCGTAAAAAAACAGTATCTCATAAAAGAAGTGGAAAGAGTTAATATCAGTGTCTTTTTAGCAATTTGTAGAAAATTGTAGACCTTTCCCTTAAAACGTAGGTAAGCATTAACCTTTAGAATTCCCAGTAGAACAAAACGTTTTCGCAGGACCGTAATAAAGCCTCTCCTTTTATGAACTCGTTACGTGTTGTAGGTGCGCCAATCACTTGGACCGTTTTTATTGAGATACTCACGCCGCCATGTTTACTCTTGACGAATTCGCGCCACACGTCACATTGTTCAGATTAGTTGTAAACAAAACCACATTTATCACTGTTTTACACACTTTTAATTACAATTTAGAACATTAGAAACCAAGCGTCTTAACAATTCTACTACAAATCCTGGTAGAGTAACACTTAAACTAGAATTATCTTTGATTTCTCTGAAAGACAAATTGCACAAACAAAAAAATTAAATAATTGTGGTGTAAAAATCAATTTTAAATACTAAGTACAGTATAATGCATTATACTTAACAATAATACTATGTTTAGAGTACCGTAAATTGTAAATAGAACTAGGTATACGTACTATAAAACGGAAAAATTTCTGCACAATTTCTAGTACGTAATAACTACTCGTAAGAATAAAAGAGATTGATTGTAAGTTTTTTTTAATGGCTATTTATAGAAATAAGATTTAAATGTAATCAAATCTGCTATAGAAAAAAGTAGGTATTATTCTATGTTATCCATTTAACACTGGTCGAATTTATGAACTATACAGTGTATTCTTTGGAAAAAATTGCAACTAACGTAAAAATCTTAAAGTATTTAAACAAAATAAGTCGATTGTAAAGTTTTAATGTCTGCTATTCGTTGCTTATATCTATCTACGACGTTTCCTAAAGATGTTCGTAAGGAAAATAAAAGAAACTTTAAAATGCTATAAAGTTTTTCGTCTTTATTACAACCAACAATCTTTAGTACCTTGTTCAAAAACATTATTTAAAAAAGATGTTTTGGCATATTAATCATAAGTTTTGAGTGTGTTGATGATAAAAAGAGGGAATCGTTTTCAACTTCATTAATTTATAACTATAATAAATAACACATATAATTGATAAAAAATGTTAACGTATCACAATTATGTACAATGTGTATGTCAGGTAAAATTTACAAAAAGACCTACTGTCTTAAATTGGTTGTAGTAGGTACTTGATTTAAGTCGATTTAAACACCTGTTGCAACCAGATAAAATTGAAGTGGTAATTTGAGATAACAATTAAAGTTTTTGCAGCAGTCATGAAAAGAATTTATTGAAAATGTTTTTACTTAAATTACCTTCCTAATTACCACATTTAGTGCATTGATAAAGCTTTTGAATCATTCAACTTGAGTAAGTTTAAGTAAAATTAATGCGTCTTAGGAAAAACAGTTAATTTGTTGTAAAAATTTTAATTGGTGGTAGACTCAATTCATGAGATGATGAGATTTTTCTATTAGTTTCAATCTCATTCTTTGCGCTTATTCAATTTCGCGTTACTCTATTTTTTGTGTTGCAATTGACTGAAATAGCTTTTGATTTTGTTCAGGCGACTATTCCCTGGACATCTACCCCGTGACGTTGGACGACGACGCCAAATACCAATGCCAAGTGTCTCCCGGTCCCCAGGGCCAGCCGGGAATTCGCAGCCATTACGCGACGGTGACTGTGCTCGTGCCCCCCGATCCGCCCAAGATCGTGCAGGGGGATTACCTGGTCACGACGGAAGACAGGGAAATAGAACTGGAGTGCATAAGTCACGGCGGGAAGCCGGCGGCGGAAATAACCTGGATTGATGGCCTGGGAAACGTCCTAACAGACGGAATTGAATATATCGTCGAGGAGCTATCGGACGGAAGAAGATTCACGGCCAAGTCAATACTGAAATTGACGCCCAGAAAGGACCATCACAACACTACCTTCACTTGCCAAGCCCAGAATACGGCCGAAAGGACGCACAGATCCGCCAAATTGAAACTGGAGGTCGGTGGGGTCCATGAACTGTGTTTTATTAAATAGAAGCCTTCCCTGGGAACACGAATTTCATAAATTTTCTGTTTTTCTAGGTAAAATATGCGCCGAAAGTCACGGTCTCTATTCTGGCGGGAGCAACACAGAGCGGAAGGATTCCTGAGGGGGCGGAGGTCAGACTGGGGTGTCATGCGGATGCTAACCCTGCAGACGTCACCTACAGGTGGTTCTTGAACGATGAACCGTTAATTGGGGGATATACCACCGAGATGGTTATTCACAACGCGACGAGAAAATATCACGACGCTATTGTCAAATGCGAAGTGCACAATGCAGTTGGCAAGAGCGAAGAAAGCGAAACGCTGGATATTAGCTGTTAGTATTAGATATACATCATGTTTCAAACACAGATTCTAAAAATTCTTCTTAATTTACTGGTGAATAATGTGACTTCAATATAAAATAAGTTTTTTAAAGTTCAAACATATTGAGATTTGTGAATTTTTTTGGCACTCACAATTATTAAACATACACTGCGATTTTATTAATTGTGCAAAAAGTTTAAAAGTCGAATACATCCATCATTCGTTAAATTGCAGAATATAAGGGTTGTCAGACGACGATGATGTTTCTTTTTTTTTTGTTTCCACACTCCGTTGTAGCTTCTGCTTCCATATCTGGTTCTACAGCAGCAGCCAACACTTACAATACAGAGTGTTTGTTTGAGGATTGCGAGCAAAAATTTTAACCACTAATAGGATTCTCAAAAGAAACAACTTTCGTTATTCCAAATTTTTAAAAATAAATTGAGGCTGAAAACCCGTCCCCGCCTATGTCTTAATACGATGTTTACAATCATTCATAAGAAAAAACTTTGGAACGTAAACAGCGTAAAGACAAAAAAATTATCGCTACATTAGGGTAGATCAGTGTCAATGTTAGTGGGTCAATACTTGCTATTATAAAAAATTGCTCGAAATGTGGTCATTCGTTGGCAATGCACACTTCTTGTACTCTTCTGGCTAGGTAGGGAAGCTTGCGTTCGCATACACAGCCCTTCGAAGGTATAAATTTGAGCTGCGTACACTAATTCACTAATTGTTTCGTGTGAACCCCCAAAAAAACACACGTATTTAAATCTGATGACCGCGGTGGTCATTGGCGACCAATCCATCTCTAGGAAAAATGATTGTTCAATCAATTGGTGACGACTTTGGCATAATCTGATGGAGCTCCACTTATAAATACCGCATGTGTCGCCAAGAGCACGTCCTCCACCAGATTGGACAACACATTTTCCAAAAAATCCAGATAAACGGCACTAGTTAAACGTTAAGGTAATATGTGGGATCCAATTTGGTGATCTTCAATGATCACTGCCCAAACATTTAGTGAAAATCGGTCTTGGAAATGATGTCCGTACACTAGTTAATTTGGCGTTTGAGTAGTTGGCCATAACGACATGATTGACAATTTGATTTCAAATCAATGTGCACAATTCACCCGAAAGCGCATTAACGACTAACTAAACTGACACATGTAAACAAGTGATAATTTTTTTGGACAAAAAGTTTTCTTTTTTCTGTATAAAAACTTTCACGGTCAACATTCAATGCAATTTATTTTCATTGATATTTTCACTTCCAACTAACAAGGACAGACACACTAAACGGCTCGTGAAAACATAGGGAGGAAATTGCAAAAATAAAATTTGGATACGGAATTTGTTTGGTCTTCAATTCGACATTTCATAACAAATTCTCTTATAAGTGGTTAAAATATTTGCTCGCAATCCACAAACACCCTGTATAATAAGATGGATAAGTACGTGTGGCTGTCTCACATCTACGTCCATACTATGACAATTTTGAAAGAAATCTTCCTAGCAATGAAAAGGAGGACTTAACAATTGAAACAAAAACATATTTATCAAGATACATACATATTCTTGCTGAGGCATCTTTTTTAGTTGTACCACTTTATCAATAAATAAGAATACGTTTTTTGGAAGATCTATATAATAGTTAGCAACAGCAGATATTTACTTCTCATTTGATTCAAACTTTTGTTTCAACTTTTTTGCTTAAAAAAAGACTTGGGGCTCTATTTTTATTTATCTCATTTTCCTGATTGTTAAACAATAATAAATAGAACCTTAGAGGCAAAACTTTGTCTTTCAATTCACAAATGTTCTACTTATCTAATTACCTAAAAATATTTTTTCTTCAATTGCCTTTGAAGTGGCAATCAAGCTCAAATGTTATAGGAAATAAAAAATTAATCTTGCCTTTTATGAATATTTAATTATCCTCCAAGTTTTAGTTAGCCATACTTGAACAAACTAGTGTTGTTACGTTGGTTGTTTAAAATTTCAGACGGTCCCCAGTTCCGAACAAAGCCGCGTTCGGTCCAAGCCGACCTCGGCACAAGCGTAACTCTGAGCTGCGATGTGGACGGTAATCCCCTTCCGGAGATATCGTGGTACGACGAAAAGCACAAACGAATCATTCACAACAGCCCCAATTTAACTTTGCGAGTCGATCAAGAGACGGCAGGAAGGTATTTTTGTAAGGCCCACGTACCCGGATTTCCTGAAATCGGTGCGGATGCAACAATTTACCTCAAAGGTCCTCCGTCTATAGTTAGCCACCGCACCCAATTCGGCATCGAAGGCGATAATGTTCGAGTCGAGTGTACGATATTTTCCATACCGCTGCCAGAGCGAATCGTTTGGACATTTAACGGACGAGAAATCGACATTCATGACCAAGATTATACGATATTGGAAGATCCTTCTCCTGAGGGCATCAAATCTACATTGGTAATAAGGGAATCTCAGGAGAAACATTTTGGCATGTATAATTGCAGCGTCACTAATCCATATGGAAGCGACGTTGTTGAAATTAATCTCATGCAACAAAGTAAGATTTTCGATTTGGATTTTTCCCATTTAACTTGCGTTTTATTACAGAGAACGTCCCGTCAATTATCATCATTTTTGGCGTCGCTGCGCTGGTTATACTCGTCTTTATTGTGATTTTGGTCGTTTTCTTGTGCCAGAAACAGAGCAAGAAGAAGCCGCCGCCTGAAAGTGAGTATGACACAATACCCGATGACGATAACAGTAACAAAATGCATAATAATTATTTTTTCACTCTTAAAATACATTAACTGGTTTAGTTATTTTTCTGGACATCTTTGTCAATAAATCGACAAACTAGTCTATTTGATAGGAAAGTAGTTTGAAGCAGCTAACAATTAACAATGATAGAAAATTTATTTTACTGTGACATTAAGAGTGAATTGTCATTATCTATTAAAAAACTTTTTGTTTTATTAAATATTAATTTTTGATTGATTTTGATTTTTCACGATGGAAACATTTCAAGAAATCACTTAGGTAAACGTGCCATCTATTATTATTACTTATCGATTCAGTAATTTCTGTCTTTGTTTTATTTAACAAGTATCGTAAGTAATAAAATGGTATTAAGTTTAAAAATTTAACGCCATTAGTGTAATAATAAAACCTTGCATGTTTTCCCAACGTGTACTGTACTTTTTGTGGTTATTAACATTTCTTAATTAATTCCTGGATTATGTATGGATTACGTTAATATTGAAAAAATAAATAAATTGGACTGATTTTTATGAAAAATTTTTACACAATTTTGCGTGTTACTGTTGTCATTTTGTAGAAACTTATTATCTGATCCTAAAGGTAACTGATCTGCATGTTTTCAGCTGATGCCAATACTATAGAAAAGCAATGTAAAGAATCTGACAGAAGCTCTAATATATCAGACTTGAAACTGGATCTCAGGACCGGATCTTCGAACAGTAATGTGCATTGTGATATGGATTATATTCCAGGGGCCGAGTCTGAAACAGGAAGTGAGTCTGTTATAACCCGAATCGGTGTCCCTTTAGCTGGCCCCGTCAATGTTTCAGGGCAAGAAATCTACCGATACTCCGCCGATTACACGGAGCCTAGTTTCCCCCCTAAAGTAATAATTTGTTAAAATTTTAGTCTCACTTTTCACATTTTCACTTTTGCAGGACGGCCAAAACAATAACGGTTACGTGCCATACGTGGACTACTCTCGCGACTACAACCCCCCGATGATGCAACCTCCCATATCCTCCTCGTTGGATCCCGGGAGGGAGAGTCTGCAGTCCACCCGCCTCCAACTCAATTCGCTGCAGTCGCACCAGATTCCGGTGTCTGGCCAGAACCTCCCCTTGAACGATCTGTCCGACATTCACCTGGTGACGACGCAGAGCATCCCTAACGGGGGGCTGCCAGGGCTGGGGTCTATAGATCCTCGTTTCAGTGCCACTTACGGCAACCCGTATTTGCGGAACCCCAACGTGGGGCTGCCCACCCCCAACACGGCGAACCCCGCGGCCACCCCCGCGCCGCCGCCCTATTCGAGGGATAGCTCTCGGATAGCTAGTTCTAGTGCTATGATGACTGCTAGTGCGAATGTAGCGAATACTGTGGTTGCGAACGGTGCTAATGGGTCGGTGCCCCAAGTGACGAGGCTACCGAACTCCCCTACAAGTCAATACATAGTTCCAAATTCGAATATGGCAACGATTAAGAGAGGTACTATGGCCACGCACGTATAATAGTGCGTTGGGACTTAGCGATTTCAAGTTGAATTGCAAAAGAGAAGACTGAAGCCTGTATCAATCGAAAATTTTTAACTATTTGTTTTTGGTAGGAATTTTACGCCGAAATTCATGTACATTGTCTAGACAATTAAATTAATTGACCGAATTATTGATTAAAACTTAATCAGAACGTACAGTTTATTACTACAAACCTGTTACTCATGCCAACATTTTAAATACAAGTGACGTTTCAAGAACGGAAACATATCATATTGATATCATTAAGCAATTGGACGAATTGAATGATGCAATTTTTACGTGCAATATACGAAAATTGACTATTTTTTATTACTTGTATTTGAATAGTGAGACAGGTTTTCATATTACCTATAGACTAGTGTACATATCAAAGGTCAACAGACGCAGTTTTTAAAATGTCAATTTTAAGAATCCTTCAAAATTTCTTCGATTCAATGTCATACTACTTCAAAATTTCGTTGTCTAGAGAAATATTTTTACTGTTGAGAAAAATTTAAACCTGCCGTTGTGAAGAAAAATATTTAATCATCTATGCGCTTCCAGATAATATGTAAAACATGTCTGTGTTCTTTTTTTATTTCATTCCAGATTTTGTTACGTATTAGGAGAATTTATTTTTTTCATGGTTTTGCTAAATTTGTGAGTAGCTCAGCTTTTTATGGCACACTGTTATAAACTATTGAAAGAAATAAATTTGTTATGAATGGAAATTTTAGATAAATATACCAAAGATATTTTTTGTAAATTAACTTCTATAACAAATGTGTATATTTTAAAGTGAATCCAACGACGCATCCACTTATTTTATACCGTACTATTGCATTTTGTTTTTAGGTGCAATTCACTTATTTCTTGTACTTAAATGTATGCAATTCGTTGCTTTAATATTTGCTCATTATTTTTATTTTGTATTTACCTGTATATTTGTATATTTTTACGTGTACATTTTTAATACCTATCAAATTTGATTACATATCAGTTATGTTATCTTCCAGTCTAATTTGCATGTTTTGTGTAAATGACATTTTTTATCAGTTTGTAGAACGAATGAGTGATATGTTATAAAGGATGATAGATTTAGCTCAACTTGTACATATAGAATTTTACGACGTTTTCTATGCTAGAAAACACTGTTACTACTGTGTATAAATTTTTTTAAATCTTAACGAACAGCAATATTTATAAAACTTTGTGATTGTAAAATAAATATGCCTACTTATGAATCAGTTTTATTAACCCAATTCATAAATACAAGCGGTTCCCATATAAATTTATAAACAAAAAATGTTTATAAAAACTGAAAATTTTCAGAAGTACTGGGATCACAGAGACGCAGAGAGGTATTCTAAATTTTTAAAATAGAAATTTCAATCTTTGTTTCGACAAGCGCTTTATCTTTTTTGTGATCTCGTGCGATTTAATACTCAATTTTTTGTTACAACATATAATTGTGACCGAAAGCGATTTCTTGCTGAATTATTTTCTTATAACAACATGCCATTTTTTGCTTAATTTTTTAAGTTTATTTGCACTGATGAAAAAAAAAACTACGTTGCAAAATTCTTATGATCAGTGCACAAAACGTTGGTTTACATGTCGTTTGAATAAATCTCCTAAATAGCGCACAACAATCGTATTCATAAATTAGCGTCTACAAATATAATTTCAGTAAAAAAAATTATAATAAAATTGTTGTGCGAGGAAATATTTAGCGCATACGAGGTGGAAAATATGTAATACTAGCCCCATTTTCAAAATTAACAAATGTACCTAACTTTCGTTGCTATTTAACCTCTCTGATCGAGAGGCTCAGTTTTGAGATTGAGAAAAGCCCAAGAGATAATGACATTTCTCCCGAAGTTTGTATACTATTCTATTTACAATCATATTTCTTTAAAAATGATAAAATACCTGGTTTTCTGTCAAAGTTGATGATGCATATGATCCAAAAAAAACTAGAGTTTTTGCATTTGATTAGCTCGTAACTCTGGTAATTTCCCGGCTTCCGAAAGTTTAGAAATCGGCGTTTTTATTATAGTGATTAATAGAAATATTGGTGGATGCGCCGGGTCAGAAATAAAATACATTTTTGAAAGTTGGTTGAGTGAAACAATCTTTATTTTAAATTCTACAGAACATGTACAATGACAAACAGCAGCGTGCACAGCATTTTTCAACATAAAAATAAATATTTTAAAAAATATGACCCCAAACAGATCCAATTATTGTATATTATTACCCTTATATACAATGTATATTTAGTTTCCACGAGAAACACATTTAAGTATCTTTGTTATTTAAAATATCCCTTCTGTTATTATTAAGGAGAAAAAATATTTATTCACAACATGCATATTTTTTTCATTGAAAAACAAATATTTTATTTACATTTATAATAAATACATAATTTCGATAGAATATAATTATATTTTTTTGTACTTAGAAAATAAAATGCCACATTTATTTACGAAAACAGCATTTCTTTATGGTTTCAAAGGCATAATTCCGGGTGTATTGGAAATTTATTTAATCAACAGCGAGTGTTAAGTGTAAAAAATGAGCCGGTGTTTTAATGTGAATTTTATTATAAATACAATTTCCAACACACTGTAGTGTAATTACATATCATAGATTTAGTGCATTTATAACATTTTAAGTTATAACAATCCTATTTAGATTTTCATAAGATGACTTGGTTAAGTTAAACCTAGCGAACAAGCATGACTAGTATGGCACTTCCGGCCAAAACTGGCAGTGTTTCACGCATATTACACATTCATTACAGTTTATAAGAAACATGTAGAGATTTTACGACACTGATGTGAATTGAACGAAAAATTGCAGAGCGTTGCGATAGATTGCACATTTTCACTTTATTTATCAAACGGATTCTCACCAAATGGTATAATAATCCCTTGCATATCTAGATATGTATTCGATTTATTGTTGAAGGTAGGCTTTTCATGTGTTGCCTGTAGAGATATATTGCCCTTTGGTGAAAATATTCGATTAAGTCAAATGCCATGGCAGTCTCTATTTTTCTTATTTATACCCAAAGTTTATATTGTTTACAGTTAACACTATACACTAACTTAATGGACAAGACCTGCTCACCAAGCAGGCAATAACATCGTCATTCTATTTACCCATAGTTTAGCTTTAATTGTTATCAAAAAATCATTGCCTTTATCTATAAAGCTTAACTTTAGTGGTAGGATATTAGTTTTTCTTAAACTAATCAAAAATATATATGCCATAATTAATATAGAAAATTAGACTTTTTGCACAAATAGGCTCTTGCTTTTACCATTTTTTTCATACCTTATTAGACCTCATTCTATCAATACGTTTATATACATTTCGGATTCAAATGACTGTTGCATATCGGAAAATAAAAATCTTGTGCGCTACCCTTTACGAAACTAATTCTTTGAAGATGTCTTCACATGATGCCAATTTTGATTATCAGTTTATCCCAAGATTAGTCTCATCACTCCAAGCAGAATTCCTCCTGCGATTATCCTCGATGTACTAGAGTGAAAACTTCCAGTATTACAAAGACTACGTGTGCAAGAACAGTATTTAACATGAACATCTTTTGTCCCTGTTCTCAGTAGACATTCCTTATCGTCTCTGTCATCTAAGATGTATCCACACCCTCGGATCACTCGGATGTGTCCTTGGACTGAAAAAAAATTGGATTAGTTTCAAATCACCACTAATGAGAGATCATCTTCTAACACAAGCGTAATGAGCACGTGTTTCACGCACGTGACTGGCACGTGTAGGTGCTACAATGGCGGGTCCGAAATTATTGATTGCCTCCCTTGCACGCCACTTACCAAACTGGGGAAAATGTGTGGTTGGTGGTTACTGACATTTAGCTAAATTGTTGTTGTCCCCATGGCATTTGAGGGAGTTAATAATTTCGTATCTACTGGTAACATTTTGGGACAGAAAAATCTTTATTGGGATAGAAGTTATTTCGTGCTCAATTAAGTGCCAAACATTTTAATCTTGATACGTTAGAAGTGAATTAAACCTGCGATACTCATCTATAAATTAGCATGGCTCAATAATGAATATAATACTTACTGCGCCATAAGAGAAATGAATCACAAACGTTTTTTAGCGAAATTTTATTATTCTTATTCATTTAATGGATAAATTTTGTTTTTAGTTTTTTTCTTATTTTATACATTTTTGACCAAAGTTTTTTATGTCAAACAGCAAATCTGTAATTAAAAATTCATTATTCTGGTTGAGTAGGAAGAAAAGTTAATTTTTCTCTTGATTTTGGGTTATTTTTCTCTGCTGTTTAAATCATCACATTGGCGTTTTTTTTTAACAAGGATGTCACTTTGCCAATTAATTAATTGAATAATGATGGTTGTTGCTAAAAATGACTGTATTTTTTATCCTAAAGCTGTTTTTTAAGTTGCCGTTTATTAAAATTATGTTTTTCACAAACATTTTTGTTATTTAACTTTTTTTTGTTTTGCTTTTTAACTTTGTTATTTAACTCATTTGTCAAAGTGACATCGTTGTCAAAAAAGTAAAACCGCCAATGTGATGGAATCTGAAATTCAAAGAAAAATAATTATTAAGTCCAAAAAAATCAAGAGACAAATGAACATTTTTTTCCACTGTATCAGAATAAACCGCCATACGTCAACCAGTAATAGAAAATGTCATTCTGAGAAAAAAAAAGGTTTAAATAATTGTTTTCTATTGTCATTCGTTTAAAAAGAGTTACAGCTTAACAAAGAGTAACAATGAATTTTGTACAAATCGTGATAAATTCAAAACGATCACATTTATGAAGCAATTGCTTATTTAACTGAAGCAATGAAAGGCATTTTGAGCAATTTTTGTAGTTGCTTTTATGTCTTTACTTAATTTTATTTTTTTATCTCATAAATGAATCGTTTTCGGACTTATGTTTATGTTTATATCACACTGCCAGTATCATTTAAATAAGTCTTGGGACTAAGCAGTTGTTTCATCAATGTCATTGTTTTTAATTTACCACAACCCACTTTATAAAATTCATTGTTACTTTTGACTAAGCCATAACTCTTTAACATCGATAAAAAAATATTTTAACTTTTTTTTTCAGAATGACATTTTCTATCACAGGTTAATGTATGAAGGTTTGCTTTTGGGATACGCTTGTATACAATGTATTAAAAATATAACTGATTGAGTTTGCAAAAGAATTGAGAGCCATATCTCATTCATATTTGCAATCGCATATGGTTTTAGTTGACAAATTAATAATCGTTGTAACAATATTGTTTATTGTAATTTGTATGAAATATGAAATGTAAAATGATGCATTCAGTGTCAAGATGTCAATAACTGGAAGTAACTGCTACCTCAAATAGTCACAGGAATTCACTTTACTAACTTTACTAATATTAAATGTGTTGCGTTTTTTTAGCAAGTGTATAATTCAAAGTACTTACTTTTAATCTTAAAATTTTGTTTTCAACTATAATCGCAATCTCTTTTGGACAAGCCTGAAAAATACTAGCCCCATTTTCAAAATTAACAAATAACTTTCGTTGCTATTTAGATTTTTTCTTGATGTGATCAATTAATGAAACAATGTTTATGTTGTCAGTCGTAAAATGTAAAAAATTGCCAAATTTAATTTACATACACATACATTTCTGACAGTTTTATGCATTTGCGCCTTAAACTGAAAATGTGGATGGAATATAACTACAATACTAAAAAAAATGTTTCGACACTACTAGACTTATTTCAAAGCAAAATAAAAACTTTTGATGTTACCTTTCTGAACAGTTTTCCTACAAAGCTTTGGTTTTTCTTCCCAAATATGATTTAAAGGTCTTTTCATTGAACAATTTACTATTCCTATGGTGTATGGATCAAACGGATCGCCGCATCTAGGATCATACTCTGAATTGCATTCGTAACACGCTATAGGTTTTTCTCTAGCCCACTGTCCATGATCCATCCCATGTCTCGCATGACCTGAACAAAAAAAAAACAGTTATTAACAACTAATTTTCCCAGTTACTTGTCAGGAATGACACTGTAAAAACTCCCGGAAAATCCAGTGAGCCAAACAAGCCCAAACACAAAGAGATTAAAATGAGAGTGAATGTCGCCTGAAAGTCCGGGATGGGGGTATTGAACTCGCAGTATCTTCACTGCTCTACTTCCAATTCGTCATTTTCCACCAATTTTGTTTACTATTTCCTCAAAATTGAGCCATGAAAATTTTCTAAGGTACTAAAATACTCTTTCAAGGTTGCAATTTATTGTTAGATGTCACACGCTCTGATCAGTTTTAAGGTCGAATCAAATGTTTGCCTATAGTTGTGTAATTAGCACTTAAAACTTATTCGGATTTAAACCTTATTAATTTTACGCCCTAGTAAGTCAGTTATTGTTTATTAATCATCTTTGTTGATTACCTTTTGGGAATTATTGATTGGTTGCGGTTTTATAATGTCATTATTTTAAGTGCCTTTAGTTATCAGCAAAGACACGATTTAAGTATATAATTCAATTATGAACAAAAATACTAAGCTCATTTTTTGAGGATCAATAGAATGGAAGCTCTTCAAATAACAATTTTGGAAGGTCTGCATACATAGTAGTGTTTTAAAGCGCAGTCAAACCTTTTATCTTTCTATTATTGGGTTCATTTTGGGTCAAAAACGACAACCAAACACGATAAATTATCATCTAATTATAAATAAAGTTTCTAATATTTTTGAGTGGAAAAATGGAAAATATTTATAAAAAATATTTTTTTGAACTTAGAATTGGTGTCAATTTAATGAATGAAGAAGACGTTTTTTCTTTTAAGAAATGCAGTAAATGAAGTGTTGTTTTCTCTCCATCACGTTCATCATTAATTTTGACTATTCCCTGCCTTAATATCGACCTTTTCTAATACTAAAAACACACTTAATTTTAGGTTAAATCGATTTTGTTGCGTCGAGTACGGAAGTGCTGCCGGTGGTGCTGTTACATAACGAATGTTTTTACCAAAAAAGTAAATTTTTTCTTGAATATTTATGAAATCCGGAATAATAACAATTTCTTTAGAAAAATAATCAATACACTTACATTTAACTACAATTCCAAGTATAAGGGCAGCACAAACAATTCCGACACTTTGAAACATTTTCTTCAATGTTGTCCCAACTCATACAAAAAACTCACATTAACTAAATACACTGATTTGAAAAGTGCGGTATTGACGTCTCCCTATCTGTTCGACATTTAGTTGTACTAGTAGGAAGAGGACATGACGTCACTGATCCTCCCCACTACGCGAAGACGTCATCAAGCGTCGGATCGATTGAATTCACTTTGCAGCTTTTTCGAATTAAAGCGCTGTTAGGATGTTTTATTAAAATAAAACTATTTTGTTACAAAAAAAAGCAAAAAAGATAAAACTGACACTGGAAATAGCACACGTTTGATAAATTATGTAACTTGTATTTGAATCACTGAACCAGAAACACAAGAGCGTCGCTTCTTGTTTTTTAGCCTTCACATTTATGTATGTGGCTTTGAAATCAGCACTGTAGAATTTCTTTGTGAAACAAAAGAAGGGTGCATCCGCAACCTCCAATTTCACAAAACCGATTCTGGGCGAAATATTAGCTAGCTTTTCTTAGAACTTGAAAGCATTGCCACTAAATACGTATAATTGCACAAGACCGTTTTTTTTTCTCTCCAGTATTATCGTATGTACTACATATTCGTCATAGATTTTCCTCACTGTCGTTGGTTGTAAGAAAAGTTAAAAAAACTAAGAAATTTTAACATAAGCATACCCATTCAATTTGAAATAATTTATTAATTATATGTAGTCTTTCTCTAATTCAAATTCAAATACTAATAATCTAAATAAATATTAAAAGATGGTGCATAAAAGTTTTTAAACAGGCTATGTTAAAACATGAACATGTTAAAACATAAGTGTATAATACTAAAATGTGTAGGTATAGGTAAAGAAAAATAAGTAGAATCAAATAATACACTGACGGACACGGAATTTTGGACATCAAATTTATGTCAGTTCAAAAAATGTCAATGTAAGCCACGCTTTATTGTCATTACGATTGACATTTGGAACTAAAATTTGAAAGTTTTGTTGAAATTAATTTTTGGCGTCCATTTTCCGAAACAATAATGCAAGCAATACGTGTTTTTACATAAGTTCAATAAATTATTTTGATTTGTTGTCATTTTTTCTTTAACTATCAGCATAAAAACTGAATATGAGGTTAGTTGCCTAAGGCCCGTTTTACATTTTTATGTCAGTCGAATGACAAATCGTCCAAAATTCCGTGTCCGCCAGTGTATGTAAACCTCTGAAAAATTTGACAATTTTGTTTTTGACAATTTGCGTTTTTTTTGCACTCAAGTGTACCTATTTAAAATGTGCCAGGAAATCAATTGGCTTTCGGGAAAACCACATAATTCATAACAGTTAAGGCTCTAGGGCTAGTCATAAAATGGAAATAATGTAAACAAACACAATTTTACCATCGATGAGTTTCTCTTATTTCAGAGATTCAGATTCTAGCTCAGTAGAAAGAAAAGTTCATTTTTCTCTTGATTTTG